TCTACCGAACCGGTTAGAAGAGGTTCCACTAGTGGACCCGGAAAGCAGGCCACACCTACAGAAGAGGTTCCAAAATTTTTTGAAACCCATCACTGGTTAATAGGCAATTCTATTCTTCTTCCCTCTTCCTGGAAGCCTAACTATAACATAAGCCTTAAGGATGAATGTATTATATTGACCTAAAGTGGCTGCAGTTTCAAGGCGACTTTTAGACCAAGGTTAAAAGGTTCTGTGGAAAACAGTGATGGAGAAAAGATGGAATTTATACCAGAAGTAACCAAAATAGTCTAGCAAATCATGCACAAAATCCAACCAATTGTGGTTTATTATAGAGCTAATCATGGGTTAATACTATGCATACATCTGGTCATGCTAAATTTTCAGATTCTCTATATAGTAAAACCTATTATGGGCTGCAAAAAGAAAATATGATCAATTTCATTGTGTACTCAAGGCTTACCAGAGAACTTGCAGCACTGGTAGACAGAGGGTGGGGGGAGATAGCATGTACTTGTGCTTCACAATTCTTACTGTTCTTATTAATGTGTTTAGTTTAAAAGATTAAACAACAGTAATGTTCTCAGTTGTACAAAAATAACTTTGCAACAATACAAGACCAGGCAGAATTTTGCCTTGGGTCATGATCGGAAGGTGAGATGCTTTGAACCTGAGATACAGAGTCTAAACATAATGCATGGATATTGTATTAGAAATGAATTCTTTTGATTTAACGCTGAATACATAGCTACACTTATCAAAGATCCTGGTTTGACCTCATTTGCTTCAGGTTTGTGCTCTAATCCCAGCATCTTGCTAAGTTGCAAAAATCTTGGGACTACTCTGGACAAATGCAAAGAAAACAAGCACCAGCACTAGCCGTAACACTCTTTTTCCCAATTTAGAGGAACAGCCATTGGATAAAATTCACACCCTCTTCCTCACATGTGGAAGCAAAGGGAAACACTTTTAAATGGCCAAATCTGTGCTCTCCCTTTGTAAGAGGATGCACATTTGCCACATAGCAGAAATTGCAATATGAGTTTTAGAAGACGCAACCCTGTTCCCTAGTTTTGCCTACTGACTGGCATCTTGCCTCAGTTTAACCACTAGGAAAGCACGTGACCCGTCAAAACCGCGCTCGACTAAACCGCACCCGACTAAACCGCGCTGCTGACGTCATCAACTGGGCGACAACAGCCAGCGCGGAGAAAGAAGGGCGCTTTAAATAGCGCTTTGAAAGCAAGCCGATTCAACTTAAGGTAAGGGTTAGGTTTAGGTTTAGGTTAAGGGTTAGGGTTAGGTTAAGGGTCAGGATTAGGTTAAGGGTTAGGGTTAGGTTAAGGGTTAGGGTTAGGGTTAGGTTAAGGGTTAGGTTAAGGGTTAGGGTTAGGTTAAGGGTTAGGGTTAGGTTAAGGGTTAGGGTTAGNGTTTTCTTTTCTTACCCTGTATATAAGTGATTGCAAAATGGAATGTGAAAATGAATAAAATATATTTAAAAAAAAAAAATATTTGTAGCCAATTGAATTTTTTTTTCTCTTAGCTGTTGTTCTTTCCCAGTGTTCAACCCTTCTGATTTTCTGCTGCACACGTGCCCACAGCCATCTGTTAAGCTTCTAGTCCTCGTGTTCCCCTTTCTCATTCCAAATTAGCAAAAGCCATCTGGTCCCAGCAACTGGAGCAAACCATCCAACGATGACATTTGGATGACATTGCCTCACCCACCCCCCCGCGTGCGCTTCTGCCCTTGGAAAACATAAAAGAAAAAGTCTCCAGCTTTTTAATGCAATGTGATATTAGTTTTATTTTGTGAGTTAAGGCACGGGCTATAAATCGACAATGGGAAGCATGGAGGGCAAATCGGTTTACACAACATACAAAGAACTCTGAAAATCGTTACAAGCAAGGAATTGAAAACGGAACGAGTCCGATCATCTGCATTGGTTCCCCTCCTTCAAAGCTAAAGGTGGATTCCATCCTTAAATCAGGGGTCTCCCAAAGTTGGCGATTTTTAAGACTTGTGGACTTCCAACTTTCAGAATTCCCCAGCCAGCCATGCTGGCTGGGGAATTCTGGGAGTTGGAAGTCCACAAGTCTTAAAAGTCGCCAACTTTGGGAGACCCCTGGTGTAAAATGATGGCAAGAACTTTAACCCAAGGATGCTAACTCTGCCCTAGATAACTTCACTTGCAAATGCAGAAGAAACTTTACAAAGATGTTTAATCTCATTTTCCTTCCTCTCACCTCCAGTCTACAGGCACCGGAAGAAAGGCTGAAAAAAAAAAAGGACCAGAATGCAGGAATAATAATAATAATCAAAACCCAGATAATTTCCTAACCTTTGTCTCCATCCCTTCATCCTGCTTACATTCCTGGCATTTTCAGTTTTCTCAGTGCTGTCGCTATTTGCAAAAACCCCGAATCCGTGCCCTCCGCAGAAAGAGCAGGGTGGAAAGGAGACCAATTAAGCCAGAGAATTATCGCGGGGAAGGAAACATTCAGAAGAAAAAGGCACTAGTTGGGTGGAATTGGTTAAACCTCCCCGTTGTTTTGCTGCGTTTTGCACCATATACTGAATAATTCTTTGTCTCCCAGATTGCAAGAATAATCTCCCTGCGATTGGGGGGGTGGGGGGGAAGGGTTCAGATGAAAAATACAGATAACCGCTTCTTAATTTTGCCCATATCCATTTAAAAATGGATTCTCTTCTCCTAATCCTGCAAAGTAAAAAATAATAATAAACAAACTTGCTTTTAGATGGAGTTAGTGAGAAAAAAAAACGCCTCTCCAATTGTCAATTTACTAAACCAGGTGTGTTAAATTGGGCAAAATAAGCCCACCAGCCCAAAATTTCACTGGATCGTGTTAGAAAAAACAAAAGCACCCAGACCATCCCCCCCCAAAAAAACCCCTCTTGGTTTTGCATGGTCCAGTGATCTTTTGCACCAAGAATTCTATATTTATTTAAACTATTTGCAGCCAAGCTTAATTCTTCTCTTTGCTCCCAAAATAAACCCCTTAACACTTTTAACAATATCCTGAACTGCTCACACCCTTGAAAGGCTATTTCATTTCTATTTCTTCCCCCTCCGGTTTGCCCGAGGCTGTGAAAGGCCCTACAAGCCAAGTAAGAGGGGCATTTTGGACCACGTGATCCATCAGCTCATCCGTCAACTGACGGGCCTTGGCGACTTTTTCCCGACTCTGAGCTAGGATGGATCCCGACAGATCCTGGAAAGACCCAGCGGTCATGAAGGCGTTACGGAGCTCGTCGACGTTCTGGCGGACGAGACCCACTTTCTCTTGAAGTCCGGCCGGTAGACCTTGGAGGTTGGAGACAAGCGTTGTGGTAGCCGACTGCAACTGTTGGGTGAGGCCGCGAGTCACCTCCAGAGCTTGAGTTTCGATCTCCTGAAACGGGGACCCAAGCGAGAGTCAGGTTAGTTAGTTCTTCAGGTGGATGGAGGTTCTCAGCCAACCAGATCATGGTTGTCCCAAAGGTGCTTTTTCAAAATGCACCTTTGCTTAAAGACTTTTCTTTTTTAGCAGATTTTTTAAAATTATTTTTTCCCTTCTACAACATCTTACAGTCCAGAGGTGGGTTCCTACCGGTTCACACCTATTCGGTAGAACCGGTTCATCAAATTTACCGAACCGGTTAGAAGAGGTCCCACCAGTGGACCCAGAAAGCAGGCCACTCCTACAGAAGAGGTTCCAAAAAATTTTTTGAAACCCACCACTGGTCCTTGGATATGATTATTCCACATTATCATGCTCCTATTTATAAAACTCGGTGCCTCTGTGAAAGGTGAGGATGACTACTGCGTTTGTGGTGCAATCAGAACATTGCGTGTGTTGAAGTTGTTTTAACGCAAACCAAAGATGCCTTTTAAAAAACAAGTTTACATCATATTCTTATGCAGGCCAGTGCTGTGGGGGAGGTAATTTAAGGTGGTTCTGACAAGTGTCGTCAGCATTTTCATATCCGGCCACTTGGGTGGCAAGCCACTCCCATCCG